TATGCAGCCATCAAAAATTATGAGTTCACATCCTTTGTAGGGACATGGATGAATCTGGAAACCATCATTCTCAGCAAACTGACACAAGAACAGAAAATAAAACACCACATGTTCTCACTCATAGGCGGGTGTTGAACAATGAGAACACACGGACACAGGGAGGGGAGCATCACACACTGGGTTGTGTTGGGGGGAAATAGGGGAGGGACAGTGGGGAGTGGGGAGTTGGGGAGAGAAGCATGGGGAGAAATGCCAGATATAGGTGATGGGGAGGAAGGCAGCAAATCACACTGCCATGTGTGCACCTATGCAACAATCTTGCATGTTCTTCACATGTACCCCAAAACCTAAATGCAGTAAAGAAAAAGAATGCTCCGATTAGCCATCACCACAAATCCCTGTGGGCCAAAAATTTACTAATTACCATTTAATTCCTGTGGCTAATTGTGGTAGCTGCACTCACCTTGTCTCAGATTATTAAGCCCTGTCACCTGATTTCCACCACTCTAGGATTCCATAATTCACATTAAGATGAGGTACAAGTTGAGGTAGGATAATTCTACTGCAGCGTTCTCCACCATCATCTCCAGCCTACAAAGCACAGGCCCACAGAAATCTTCAAATATGCTCTTGACCCTCTCACCAATGCATTTCTTTTTCTTTTTTCTTTTCTTTTTTTTTGAGACGGAGTTTCGCTCTTTTCACCCAGGCTGGAGTGCAATGGCGTGATCTTGGCTCATCACAACCTCCGCTTCCTGGGTTCAGGCAATTCTCCTGCCTCAGCCTCCTCAGTAGCTGGGATTACAGGCATGCACCACTGTGCCCAGCTAATTTTTTGTATTTTTAGTAGAGATGGGGTTTCACCATGTTGATCAGAATGGTCTCGATCTCTTGACCTCGTGATCCACCCACCTCGGCCTCCCAAAGTGCTGGGATTACAGGCCTGAGCCACCGCGCCCGGCCCCAATGCATTTCTTAATGCCTCAGAGTATGTCTGCACAAATGCCCCTATCCCGTAACAGAGTTTTACTCCTTCTCTACTAGTGTCCTTACTTTATTATAAAAGTGACTGCATTTGGAGCATTTAATTGGCAGCAGAACTGCAACACCATGAGGACCTAGCCTTGGTTCACAGCTATATCTACCCTAAGATGAGGGACTCCTTCAAACCTATCTTAGAGGCTTTCTGGTGCTGCACATATGTGCTCTGCTGTATTTTCATAGCTTCCAATGTCCTCTTTTTCCTATGCATACTCTCTAGGGTTGTCAGATGAATACAGATGACTCCAGAAACTTTTTGGTAATTATTTTTGTTTTAATACTTAGGTAACATAGTCACTTGATTTCTCAAAGCTTTGGATTCCACTTGCACTTCATTCCATGCCACCAGTGGTGTATGAATGATCATGATACTACTACATGCTGTGTACCTATGAACTTCTTCTAACACCTTCCCCCTACTGTTCTCAATCCTATTGTCAGTAGTTTATTCTTTACTTCCTCAAATTAACAAGGAACCCAATTCCCGGGGTGACTTCCTGTATCTGTTACTATACCTGAAAAGTGCTTTGCAGGAAATAAGGGGTACATTTGCAGTGGAAAACGTGAGGGCAGTTCTTAATAAAAAAGAATAGACAAATATATGGGAAGGGTATTAGAGAACCAAAGTGAATAGTGCAATGCACCATGGCTACTAAAGGTGGGATTACCAGAAGTGGGCCTGAGGGACAGAGGGAAAGAGAGGTAAATAAAAGTTAGAGATATAGAGCCTATGTGGAGAGGGCCACCTTCTAGGAACATTGGGAGAAGGGACTTCATCAGCATTTGACAACACTGCAGGCAACAAGCTGGGAGAAAAATTTCCTGACTGCACTCATCACTGCTGGCTCCCAGAAGAAGAGGGGCCCTTTGATGTGGTCCATATAGGACAGATTCCCTTGAAAGACAGAGCATGGTAAAGAAGAGTGGAGAGTGAATTGGGATGGGAAGATGGAGAGATACCCAGAAAAGAGAGAGGGCCATGCTAATAGTACTCACTAGGAATTGTGCCTGCAGCTTTATGCATATTTTAAGGAGGATTAAAAGCATATTGTCTTGTAAGTGTGAGCTCCAGCAGGGCTGAAATTTGCCTGAGCTTTCTATTGAAATAAGAAATATACCTCCATGGCATTGACCCATGGTAAATGATTAAAACATATTAATTAAGAGTGCTATTTGATAATCATGGGTCTGAGGAACTTGGGGTGCATTTTACCAGCCTGTTAGCTTTATTGATAACAGTGAGATTGATCATTTTAAACCTAGTCTCAGTGAACCTCATTGCTAAGGGCTCTGCTGTTGAAACTGGCTACACAGCAAGAATATGCTTACATAACCAGCAATGTACCAAACCTGGACTGAGACTTTATTTTGCGTTTTCTGGTTTCAAGGTATTCTGTGCATAAATTAATGGTTCCTGATCCGAAAAAAGAAGTGCGTCTTTGCAGGGCTATTATAAAGAGGGAGGATAATCAAAGCTCATACCTGGCCACCCCAGATCCTTTACTATGAGACAGCTTTTGACTACGATGTTTCTCCTTAACACTGGTGCTATGTTGCATCCGTTTTTTTCTCCAACAAACTATAGATTTGCAATCATCACCATTTGGGGTCCTGTGAGTCTTCTTCAGAAATGGAACTGTTCAGCTGCCACAGTTATCACGACATCTGGAGGAAAAAATACACTATACTATGATATGCTTTGACTTTGCTTTGTTTATAGGTATGATTTTCTCTAAAGATACTTTCAGGCTCTATGCAATAAACATATTAAACTCTGCCATTATGGGTTTTTACTCTTAACCTTTGTTATATAACCTAGAAAAGCCTTCACATTCCCCACCAAAAAAAATACACTGTAATTCCTTTTTTTCTGCTTATCTTATGGTTTACAGTTAATAAGACCAAGATCATAGTGAGTATATAAATCAGTGGTGATTAGCCTTTATCATGAATCAGAGTCACCTAGGCAGCCTGTTTAAAATGGAAATCCTAGAGCTCCATTCAGTGGATCTGAGGTGGGGATCATAAGTTCAAATTTTTGATGAAGTCCTATGGTGATTCTGATATGTGCCAAACTAGCCCACTTTAAAATGCATTAGTAAAGTGAGATAAGATTAAATTCATGGTGCAAATCCTTCATGATGTTCCTTTTGGAAATGCAAGTAAATGCTGCCAGAGATATAGAGTCCACAGTTATTTATATAGACAGGGAATGATCTCAGACAAGAATTCTTGACTTAGGTATTATTATTTACAAATTTATTAAGAATCTATTACTTGTCAGGCACTGTGCTAGGCATTAGGGGTACCAGAATAGAGAACAGGTTGTGCTTGTTCAAGCAGAGTCCAATGTTTCTCAATTTTAAAAAAACCTCAGCCCAGAGTCAGAAAGATATTGTTCATATATACATAACTGAAATACAAATATCAGAAAACAATTTTAATCCTACCTACCTGCCATACAATCTGATGTTTACTATCTGGTTCTGGTTGATTCTACTATATCTGATTTCATTTAAAAATATTGTAAGTCTCGACCTACCAAATTTGTTTTAAACTCTGCTAGTGTAGGAAGGTGAAACTTCAGTTTGACAAACACAGGTCTATTTAATAATCTGTGATTTGCATCCTATGAAGCACATGTATACATCCTTCTAGGCACATGTATCATGAAAAGGTGGAATTGCGGAGGCTAAGAACTTCCTCATAAACCTTGCTTCTCAAACTTTAAGGTGAACAGGAATCACCTGCAGATCTTGTTAAAATCAGAAAAGATTCTGATTCAGTAAGTCTGGGACAACGATCTGAGATCCTACATTTCTAACTGTCTTACAGGTGGTGCTGATGCAGCTGGTCCATGGACCACTATTTGAGTAGCATTGCTCTAAAAATTACAAATGTGGGTAGGAGTGTTAAACTGGTAAGGTGGGACCTGGCAGGACTTTCCTATAAGATAATTTCCTCTAAGGAAAGAAGAGTCAAGCATACAAGGCACTGACAGATGAGAACAGATAAGTGTGTGCCACTCATATTTTACCCCAGCCTCTATAACTGAATTTGGTGGAGAGATGGCTATACGTAAACACTTACAAACCAACAAGCATAGAAATAATTGTTTTTTTAAAAATCTGAAATTCCCCAGGGGCTGAAGCATCACTGAGGTGTTACTCTATTGGGCAAGTATAACTAAAATGAGGAAAGGGACTTTATCCACATTTCCATAGTTGTCGTGGAATAGGGTGAGTAGGCTTGGCTCACTGGGGAATTCAGCAAAATCAACTGGGCCTGTTACCTTGAGAACTTCAGCCCATCAGCATCAATGGGAGCTTTAGAAAGATGCAAGATTTATGAGAAGGAGCACAGTGCCCAGTGGACATGACATTGTCTAAAAGAGGATGGCACCCACCTTTCAGTTTCCTAGACTTATTCCTGGATACAGGTAAGATATACCCTAGTCCTCTTCCAAGTGTCTGAGGGGTTATTTTTTCTCCTAGTGCAGGGGAGCAAGTAGATGTCAACCCAACACAAATATTCTGTAACTTATCCAACCCACTGAGCAGTTGTGAAAAACAGGGTATTAACTCCATTTGACAAAAAACATGACTGTCCATTAGAGCAATGGATCTGTAATAACCCCATGTTGGCTTCTCCAGACGAATCCCACAGTAGGCAATGTGAGTTTTACCTATCATTTTAAGTTCTGACAACAAGAACTTTAAGTGTCTCTGCTGAATTTCGTAGGTTCACTGGACAGTTATTCTCATCACTTTTTACATACTGTGTTCAGATTTTAAAAAATATTTTACTGTTTTTGTAAGAAAAGTAATTTATGTTATTTGGGGAAAGATAGATTAGCAGAAAGAAAGAAAACAAAGAAATGAAATAACCTGCTATCTCATAACTCAGAAAACTACTGTTAATCCTTCACGTATTTAACAAAAACAGACAGATTCTGTAGATGATATTATAAGCTGCTTTATTTTTCCAAGAATCATAACGTCTCTGCAATGCACATGTGTGAATATCTGCTACTGAAACATAGAGCAAGCAAGCACTGGCAGTTGGGTCAAAAGGCTACTGGTAGCAGGAAGAACACCTAAAGCAAAGTATTACCACAGGTAAAACATATGACCTGACAAATGCCTGTCAGGGACACTACACATAAGGAATGTCTTCAGTGTCCCTTCGTGGGGCCCTGCAGCCACCCCTGAACTCCCTTGGACCCCTAGGATAGAAGGGGTCCTGTAAATTTCTTTGCATCCACAAAAACGCCCCCAACTTCTGTTTGCTTTTTCTCCTTTTATCCTCCACCCTAGCCATGTTGTCAAATTCTCTTATCATGTCCTCATTGCTGAAATTCATATCATGTATGGCTTCCTTACATTGCTTGAGGTAATGAGCCAATCCCTTGTTGGTTTTTCTTTTGGCTTTCCTGGGTACATCATCCTCAGCTGGGCGCTTTCCTGCAGCCCTTGTTTCACTGTCTGGCTCTCCCTCACTCCCTGGCTCTCCCTCACTGTCTGGCTCTCCTTCCCCCTCAGCCCTTCCCTCTCTCTCTGGCTTTCTCGCTCTCTCTGATCCTGCCTCCATCTCTGCCTCTCCCTCCTTCTCTGACTTTCCTTCTTCTTTTGCCTTTTCCTCACTCTCTGGCTTTTCTTTATGCTTTAACATTTCCTCATCTCCTGTCTTGCCCTTGTTTTCTGTCTTTCCCTCATTTTCTAACTTCTCCTTGTCTTCCAGAGTACAAGCTACTTCTGGCTTTCCCTCGTCCTGTGGCTGTTCTTCATTTTCCATCTTTCCTTGGTTCGAAGGCATTCCTTCATTTTCACTGCAGAGTCTTTCCATGTCGAGATTTCCCCTCCTTTTCCTGTCCTGGGGAATGGGGGCAGAGGGAAGAGGACACAAAGAGGAGACATGGGAGACTGAGGGTGTGGGGTGGAATGGAGGTCTGGACAGTACCTGCATCTCATCTGTCGTGAGGGTTCCCCTAAGCTGGACGTGCCTCCAAGAGGGCCTTCTGCCCACCACGCAGCCCGCCACTCCTCCCACACACATGAGCCAGCCATTGCCTGGCAGGCCCTGCCACCTTCTCTGCACTGGTTCAGCCTGGTAAGGTGCCTGTTCATGTGGGTGGGGGGATGGGCAGGGGCCCCAACTCGGCCATAGCCGGGCCCTCCACACCCTCAACCATTGTGGGCCCCTGTCCATGCAGCCCACCCCGTCTCCCCACACCGCTTTCACGGACCTGTGGGGATTCTGGACAGGTTGTTCCTCCTTTTCAGGCCTCACAGAGCGCTGGGAACAACAGACGCGCAAACCTGCGAACAGACAGGAGACAGGGGTAGGGGCTGCGCGCTCAGCGGGCTCACAGGGACTCGGATCCCTTTCCTGAGTCCAGGCCCTACTCACCCAACATTTTCCTCCCCTACCTCCCCCGCACCCCAGCAGCCATTTCTTTACAGGCTTCGGGCACCAAACCAGGATGCTTTCCAAGATGCGTTTGTCTCTGTGTCCCCTTCTCGCAGAGGCAACCTGTCCCAGCGCCACACTGCTTTTGCGGAGGTCAGATGTTTCCATGGGAGCAAATTGTGAGAGGGGTTTATTTCCAGAATATCTGCGTTTCACTGTCGCACTGCGGGGTCGCTACCCCCACCCCCATTTCCAGCACTAAAATGGAGTGTAGGGCTCAGTGCAAGGGAGCTGGAGTCGAGAAGGCTGGTCAGGCTCGCTTCGGGGTTCTCCCTACCCCGCTACCACCCGCTCCACATCACCCTCCTCACCCTTCTCTGGGATCTCTTCTCCACCCCCTCCCACTCCTACTGCCAGCCACCTGCACCCCTGTCCCATGGTCCGCCGGTAGCCCCGCCTTCACACTGACCTGCGGGTACCCAGGATAGGCCCGTGCCTCCTCCGGCTCGCTGAAGCCCGCTGTCTGTTCCCACGCCGCCCCAGCAGCTCAGACAGCTGGTTCTGCGCGGGCGCCAGGACCCGACCGCAGGGAGGGCTCGGGGGCTGGTGCCCACGTAGGCGCCCGGCGGGTCACGTGAGCGCTGCGTCACCGGAGCTCGGCTCCCCCTTGCCTGACCCACCTCACCATCCATCCCCCAGGGACCGAGAGGCTGGGGAAGGTCGGGGTCGGGGTGCATTTGTGTAGCAAAATAGGGTCACAGAGAAGAGGAGGGAGTGGTGTTCTGACCCTAAGTGCTTTACCTGGCACATCTTAAAGCATCCTCGCAGGGCATTTCTCTCTGATGCCCATTATCGCCAGGTGTGACAGCCGATCAGAGAGGATACCTGACTTTGCCAAGAGCGCTCAGCCCCAGAACTCCAGAGCCCGCTTTCAAGACAATCTCTGCCTGACTCCAGAGGCTGGGGTGGTGGTGCCTGCCAGGAAGCTGAGCTGCCACCTTGAGTGGCGCTGTTCCTGGGGTTCTGTCCTGGGCCTCTTCTCTCCTCAGTCCTCAAATTGTCTCTCTCTGTTTGATCTCATTCATTTCCTGTATACACCGATGACTCCCAGATGTATATCTCCAGGCTATTCCCTTCTCTGTGTCTCATATCAACTGTCTATGGGACATCAGGGCTTGAGTGTCCCTGAGGGACCCCAAAGCCTGTGTACCCCAAATTGATTTCACCAGCTTCCTTCTTGTTGCCTCTGTTGGTCTCTCTCCACACTTGAAACTTACCTTACAACATTTGACCAGTTTTCATAGAGCAAGAATCTCAGACAGCTAGAAAAGAAAGCATTAAAACATCTTAAACATGAATTTCAGATGCACAAATTTATCATACCCCATGGATCACATCACACCCTTGTCATTGATCCCTGCTTGACCCTCTTCCTTCCCTTTTCTTTCCTGTCCTCCTATTTCCTTCCCTTCCCATCCTTCGTCTTTTTTTCTTTCCTTTTCTTTCACATGGGTGAAACCACCACCCACAAAAACTAAAAATCACCAATTTTTTTTAGGCTTCTCCAGTGTAGTGCCATCTACATGTATATATACACATATGTATATTTATATACACATACATGTGTAGGGGTATATGTGTGCCCATATGTGTATATAGTGTGTATTTTTGTACATAAATCTGGGCACCACTATTTTCATTTTGATTTGCAAAATATAATTACAAGATTATAAATTATGTGTATATATACAGGAACAAACAATTCTGATTATATTTCTGCTACAAATCTTTCTTTATTCAGTAAAACCTTGATCTTCCTAGGATACTTTGCTCTATCAATATGTGTATTTGTCATTATCACTACATCACCAATAATTCTGTCCTCAATGTTGAGTTTTTTCTGAATTCTCGAGGCTATGTGTTTTCATTTCCTCCATATAAACTTTCATAAAATTATTATAATCATTCAAAAATTTGATAAAAGTAATATCAAATCATAGTTTAAAAGCTTTCTGTTTTAATAATCTAGTGACAGTGATTTTAAGCTGTCATCAGTAATTACTTGCTAAGTTATTTTGCTGATTGTAGCCAACATATTGAACAACTATTACTCCTATTTTTAAAACATGTACACAAAAATGTGGAATTCGAAATTAAGTTCAAAAAATGTCATTTTATGTAAATTAAAAATCTGTTCACAAAATGAGAAGTCAACACAACTTTTGCATTTGCATGTACTAAATTGACACATTGTTCCTCAGGTAATTACTAGTTTTGAAGAAGATATTACAACAGTTATCTTGATGCATAGTATATGTCGATAAACATATTTTTAAGTTAAATGTTTGTCATCTACTTCTTTAGAAAAGTAACCATTACTAAACATACCATTCACTTGGGACCTTTTGTTTTTTATTGCAGAATTAAAGAATCATTCCCATAGGTAAAATAAATATAGACATATATAAACACTATAAAACCACTAAGTGATACCAATACCTGGAAGAGACATACAGAAAAGGGGAAACTTCAGGCCAATATCCTTAATCAATATGGATGTAAAAATCCCCAACAAAATACTGGCAAACCGAATACAGCAGCACACCAAAAAAGGTATCCACAATGATCAAATAGGGTCTATCTCCAGGATGCAAGTTTGGTTCAATATACACAAATCAATAAATGTGATTTGTCACATAAACAGAGCTAAAAACAACGGCCACATGATCATCTCAATAGATGCTGAAAAGGCTATGGATAAAATTCAACACCTGTTCATGCTAAAAACTCTCAATAAACTAGGTATTGAAGGAATGTACCTCAAAATAACAAGAGCGATCTATGACAAACCTACAGCCAACATTATAGTGAAGGGGCAGAAGCTGGAATCATTTCCCTTGAGAACTAGAATAATATAAGGATGTCTCACACACTGCCATACAAAACCATGGCAAAAATGGAAGTAAAAAGTGGAGATCTGTGGCAGGCATAATAATTTTCTGCAAAGATATCTAGGTCTTAATGCCTGGAACCTGTGAATTTTATCTTATATGGCAGAAGGGGACTTTGCAGATGTCATTAAGTTAAGGATCTTAAGATAGGACGATTACCAAGGATTATCCAGAAAGACCCTAAATGTAATAACAAGTATACTTATAAAAGGGAAACAGAGATTTTACTACAGAAGAAGAAGGCAATGTGAAAACCAAAGCAAGATGCTACACTGCAGACTTCGAAGATGAAGGAAAAGGCCATGAGCCAAGGAAGGTAAGGAACGCAAATTCCAGAAGATGGAAAATGTAAGAAAATAGAGTCTCTCCTAGAACCTCCAGAGGAAGCAAAACTCTTCCAATATCTTTACTTCAGCCCAATAAAACTGCTTTTGGACTTTGGACTTCCACAATTGTAATAGAATTAGCATGTATCATCTTAAGCCAACAAAATTGTTATTTGTCACAGCAGCCCTAAGAACAAAGGTTTCCTAAACCCATTCTGGCTTATTTTAACATAAATATCAGTAATAATATAACTGAATTCCGAGGTGGCAGGGGCCAAGTGGCAGCACTCAACAGTCAAAGGTGAGGTGGGGATAATTACCATAATGTACAGCAGAGGTAAAGCAGCAATCAGAGTAGTCTGGCTCATGTAGCGCTCTGGGACTGGCTAATTAATCACTGTGTTCCTAGAAGTGAAATTGATAGGAAGCCTGCTGCATTCCTACTGAAATTAAACAAACAGAAAACTTCTAGGTCAAATGGACAAAAGACTAATTTAAATTATAGATACAGAATCACGGTCCCTCAATTTCTAGACTTGAGCAATTTTACAGACCCAGAACCCTTGAATGAAGGGGAGGCCAGGTCCCCTTGAGGAAGGACCCCACTACATTACTAACAATCTTTGCAGTGACTCTTTCTCCCATCCTTCCCCAAGGAGACCTCTGGCCTTTTACCGGGGTAACTGTGCATTGGGGAAAGGGAAATGATCAGATATTTTGGGGACTACTGGACACTGGCTCTAAGCTTATGTTAATTTTTGGGGAACCAAAATGTCATCATGGTCCTCCAGTTAAAATAGAGGCTTATGGAGGTTAGGTAATTAATGAGGTTTTAGCTCAGGTCTGACTAAGTCCAGTGGGTCCCCAGACCCATTCTGTAGTCATTTCCCTAGTTCTAGAATGCATAATTGGCTTAGACACACTTAGCAAATGGCAGAACACCCACATTGGCTCCCTGACTGGTAGGCTGAGAGCTATTATGGTAGGAAAGGCCAAATAGAAGCCATTAGAACTGTCTTTACCTAGAAAAAATAGGAAATCAAAAACAATATAGCCTCCCTGGAGGAATTGCAGAGATTAGTGCCACCATCAAAGTATTGAAACACACAGGGGTGGTGATTCCCACCACATTCCCATTCAACTCTACCATATGGCCTGTGCCGAAGACAGAGGAATCTTGGAGAATGACAGAGGATTATCTTAAGCTTAACCAAGTGGTGACTCCAATTGCATCTGCTGTACCAGATGTGGTTTCATTGCTTGAGCAAATTAACATGTGTCCTGGTACCTAGTATGTAGCCATTGACTTGGCAAATGCCTTTTTCTCCATTCCTGTTCATAAGGCCCACCAGAAGCAATTTGCCTTCAGCTGGCAAGGGAAGCAATGTACCTTTACTATCCTACCTCAAGGTATATCCACTTTCTGGCTTTGTATCATAATCTTTTTCAGAGAGACCTTGATCACTTTTCACTTCTGTAAGCTATCACACTGGTCCATTACATTGATGATATTATGCAGATTGGATCCAGTGAGGAAGAAGTAGCAAAAACACTGGGTTTATTGGTAAGACATTTGCATGCCAGAGTACAAGAAATAAATCTGACTAAAATTCAGGGTCTCTCTACCTCAGTCAAATTTCTAGGGTTCCAGTGGTGTGGGACCTGTGGAGATTGCCTCTAAGGTGAATGATAAGTTGCTGCGTTTAGCTCCTCCTACAACCAAGAAAGAGGTACATTGCTAGTGGTCCTATTTGGCATTTGGAGGCCACACATTTCTCATTTGCGTGTGTTACTCTAGCCCATTTATCAAGTGGTCTGAAAGGCTGCCCATTTTGAGTGGGGTCCAGAATAAGATAAGGCTCTGGAAGAGGTCCAGGCTGCTGTGCAAGCTGCTCTGCCACTTGGGCCATATGACCCAGCAGATCCAATTGTGCTTGAGGTGTCAGTGGCAGATAGGGATGCTGTTTGGGACCTTTGTCAGGCTCTCACAGGTGAATCACAGCAGAGGCCTCTAGGATTTTGGAGCAAGGCCCTGCCATCTTCTGCAGATAGCTACTCTCCTTTTGAGAGACAGCTCTTGGCCTGTCATTGGGCTTTGGTGGAAACTGAACGTTTGACCATAGGTCATCAAATCATAGTGCCACCCGAACTGCCTATCATGGACTGAGTACTTTCTAACCCAGCTAGCCATTAAATGGGTCGTGGACAGCGGTATTCCATCATCAGCTGGAAGTTGTATATACGTGATTGGGCTCAAGCAGGTCCTGGAGGCACAAGTAAGTTACATGAGGAAGTGGCCCAAATACACAAGGTCTCCACTACTGGTTCCCTGCCTTTTC